ATGAAGTACCTATCATTTTTTAATTAAAGGTTTATTTGAATTGGTTCATTCCGTGTCCGTCCAAATGCTCCAAACCTAAGAAAGGCCATTTTTTATTAGTAAATCCATCTAACTCAAACAGAACTGGATGTGTGTAGTTGCCAGATCTTTTCATCTGAAGCTAGAAACTAACTGGAAAATATTTTTGTGGACAACCTCAGAGAGGAGATGAAATTCTGCAGAGACATGAGTAGAATTATGAGTGCTGACCTATTTTCTAAGGCAGCCATTTTGAGCAACCAGGTGGGAAACTGTGTCTAGAAGTTTCCCTATCAATATAAAAGTAACATAACTTCAACTCATACCTATACATACAGAAGCCCTAAGCGGCCATCCATTCAAATCTTTTCCTTAATCCGTTTCCTGTGATAATTATCTCAAGATCTCGAAATAAATTATGTTGTTTTTCCGTGATAATGGGATCATTTTCTCATGATCTTGAGATACCAAAACAGGAGTTTAACACAGGGGTCGGCAGGAATGTTTCTTAATGATAATTTAACATAAATTTTTGGTGTCACTGGTTAGTTCAGTTGGTAGAGTACGGGCCTCACAAAGGGTTGTGTGTTCAATCCTCACTTTTTTTTATAATCCTCTTCAACAAAGATCTTATGAGAGACTGTTTCACATGCTCATAATAAAGCACATGCTGGACTGTGTGCATCCCGGCAATTGGTCCACATCCATCAACCTATGGACTTTTCATTTCCCCAGCATCTCCAGGCAGAGAAAATTCCTGCACTTTTCATTCAGGGGAATCCATTTAAGGTTACACATTTCCTGACTGCTAACCTTTGAAATAGCTGTCGGGAAATATGTGACTGGATTCCCCTGTATCTCTTCAAAAGAACTCTGTTGAAGAGGATAATAAAAAACACACAAAAGAAGGAAAAAAATCATTGAAAATGGAATTGATAATATAATATTGTAATAATGAAAATGTTTCTGAAATTATCCTAAAGAAACCCAAATACTGACCCCTGTATAAAACCATTGTTTGTTATCTCGAGATCACAGGATAATTATCCCATTATCACAGGAAAACGGAGTACAAAAAATTTTTAATGGATGGCCGCTTAGGGCTTCTGTACATAGCCGTATGTAGACCTAAGAAATAATGTTTGGGATGTTTTATGTTTGGGTGTTTGTCCTCCAATTTAGTTCACGTTGCAAGGGGAATGAATAAAGAAGCTGTTTCACCAGGAATGCGTAACACAAGCAGGGTTAATATTTTCTCTCCCAGATCCCACCTCCTGTCCATGCTCCCCGACTAACCAGTAGGAGACTCTTTTTTGCCTTATGGACAGAAACACGATTCCAGATGAATACTAAGGTTTCTTATTGTCTGTATGTCTAAATAGGATTCTGTTTAAAACTTGGAACGTGATAATATATCAATACTGTGATTACAACTTGCTGCAATGCCCCCAAGTGGCCAAACAAAGTTGGAAAATATCACATAGATGGCCATACAATGTTGTCTCTAAGGGAAAATGCCCGGGATTTTCTTGTGTGGAACCTTGGCTTTCTTACTATGGAGAAGGAGCGTTCAGTTTGTATCATACATGTGGAACAAACTCTGCTGAAACTGTTAGATCAAGGCTGTATCATTTAAAGCACTTTAAATTGCCTCATTGTTGAAATGTGCTACACAAATAAACTTGCCTTGCCTTGCCCCTCTTGGCTTGCATTGTTTTCTGCAACAATGTATTTTTGTTACTACCAGTGTAGCCACCAAAGTCAGACACATTAAAGTGAAAACTACTCATTTTGGCATTTTGGGAAATTCAGTAATCTGCTGTCTCAGTGAGATTTACATAAGTAGATCAATATATTTAAGATCCTACATACAGGCCTCCTGAATCCTGTATTTGTGCTACCTAAAGCTTGATCTGACAAGGTAAGACAGAGATAAAGCACAACGGAGTTGGTGTGTAGAATAAGACAATGACTGCATAGCCATTCGCAGTAGGTTTCTCTGGATGACAGCATCCGCTAAAAATACAAACATCCCTGTTGATCCTTGTGACTGCCTTGTGCTTTATAATGTCTTGCTGACAGAATCCAAGCCCTTTTCCTGACTCTATCATTACCTCAGCTGGCCTACAGAGGCAGTAATAGCCCTTCATTTTCCTATTCCACCAACTGAAATTCAGCATAGTTTCACTTCAGTTTTTGCTCTTCTTCTGTCCTCCCCAGTCAAACCCCTCTTCCTTCAACTTTTTTGATATGTAGGCTGGAACTGGCATTTTATTAATAATGAGATCTTGTGTGGCCTTTGTCAACCTCTTCTGGAATGGCAGACAGGTTGTCAGATTTGACAATTTCGTTGGGACAAAATATCAGCTACCTGAAGCTTTATCTCCCAAAATATTGAAATGTGGAAACTGAGTCACTCCTCCATCAGGCTCATCTCATTTTCCCCTCTCTTTCCACCAGCCACCACATTCCCTATCAAGATATCTCTCTCTCTTTCCCTCTCCCTCAGTCTGATGCATTACGTCGGAGGGAGGAAGGAGGATCGAGTGTCCACCGTTCCTCCCATCACCTGTGAAATTTCAGAGCCAGGCCCCGGTGAAAGGGGGCATTGTGTCCCCCTGATGAGGAATGCCCTTGCGTCGCTCCTCAAAGAAAAGGCTTCATTTGGCCAGGAATTTGGAGGCATCTTGAGAAGTGTAGGGGAGATTTTCTCGGGGGTGGGGATGGAAAGCTGAAGGCCTTCATAAGGCTGGAAAGGAGAAGGACTGGTCTTCCAAAACTGGTACTCAGAGTCTGTGATACTAAGCAATTCAGGCCTATAGGTGGTATTTCATTTAGTGATCCCTTTAAATCATGATTAATGAACAATCTACAGCTTTTCATTTCTAAGTAAGGTCAATTACAGGAGACATGTTCAAATCGGTTTTACAACATAATATTCTTAGCTTTGGATAATGTATGCTTGTTGTTGAAGAGGAAAAGTGAAAATAACTTTGAACCTACATACAGTAGTTTGAAATGCTGCAACTGTTATTTCACATGGCGAGGCTGACACCTGCTGGTGAAAAACAGCTACAGTTTTAATGTGAAGCCTTATATTACTTGATATGATAAAGTCTGCATTACAAATACAATTAACATTACAAACATGACTAATTACATTTATTGACACCTCTCAAGAACATTAATGATTAGTAATATCTCTATTATTGCCACTAAAGAGTATGGAGTTGCAGTCTGTGACCATTAGAGAAAAATGAACATAATAATGTAATACAGTTCTTTTCTGCCTCAATTTGGTCACTGTATTTTCAAAGCACTCACTACTGTCTGCATTGATGCTAGTTTGACGAATGTAATGTGTTGCAGTTTCTCAGTGTGGCCACTAGAGATCAGTGAAAAAACACAATTAAAATTTAATTCGACTCAAGGTCGTCAGAAGACTCCTGAGTAAGACAGGTCACTTGACAGATGAAGTCCATTTAAGGCATAGCAGTAAGCTTTTTTTTCAGTAGCCTTGCTAACTGGGCAAACATTCATTACAATTTAAGAAGTTAATCTGTGTCTGTGAATAAGACTCGCAGCTTGCAATTGCCATTACTTAAGCTCGCTCGGCTCTGCCCTATCTGTTACCCTCGTTTTTCATGTAGTAGTCCTTCCTAATGAATGGCCTTATTGACAACACTATATGATATTAATAATACATATTAAAGGTTCAGTGTGCAAGTTTTAGTGGCATCTAGTGGTTAGGGTTGCAAATTGCAACCAACAGCTCAGTTACGGCTACCCCCTCCCTTTGCAAGCATGTAAGAGAAGCTAGGGTGGCCGACATGCTGTGCCTGTCTTGTGCTAAATAAAATGTGTGGTCCTCCATTTGTCCAAATTTCACTTCTTCACTTCTTCTTTCATACTCAACATAGTGACGAAACGTGTTCAGGCCTGTGATGTATGTAAATGCTTATGGGGCCCAGATTTTTGTGCGATGCCCCTGAATAGAACTGTAACAATCGTAAAATAATTTCTCAACATTTGCTCAGTTTTATCACAAATAATATGTTTTTCGCCCCTGCAACTGCTCATATTGAATCTTTCTTAGACTACTAGAATACTTTGATGAATCCAAAGTAAATGATGAATCTAGAGATTTTTGTGAAGAGGAGACATTGCTACCTGAAATTATTGAGTGTATTAAATGTCTTCTGCAGGTAATGATGGTCTGAATTCTGGAAAACCTTTACTTCAAACTTGCACCTTACTTACTAGTCATAGAGAATCTTTTCAAAAGGGTGAGATTCTTACTACATTAAAGCAGAAGGATATTACCTTCATTCCCAAACCAAACAAAGTTGGACTACACAGAGATTGGAGACCTATTAACAATAGTCAATTATTTGCTTAGATTTTTTGCTAAAAGGCTAAAACAAGGGTTAAATCAATTAATAGATAAAGAGCAATCATTTTTTTTAAGAGAACACATATATGCATTAACAGTATATACACAAAACTGTCCGTGTCAGGGGTATTTGTACAAAAAGAAAAAAAGAAATTGTGAGTAAAGCAAGTTTAAACTAATGTATCATCGGTCCATAAGGAATGTATCAAACACAAAATTGTTCTTATTTGCCTTCTTATTCTTAATGCCTTTGTTCGTGGTGCTCTATAGATGCAGTTTTTGTTAAAAATGTTCAAAATGTGGCTTGGAGTCCTCCCATTTCTTCTTGTGAATGTGGAACTGTACAAATATGTACAAATAGGCTATTTACTTTTTCCTTCTCATTACTTTCAAAACATATAAGAATGTCTTTATCCTGAAATTGAATTGTTTACCCAGTTTTCCTTGTTAGCTATATAATGTTGAACATCCAACCATCCGATTTATCCGGGTAAATGACAACAATGTTTCTAGACAAAACGATTCCAGTCCAGAAGGTGGCGGTAATGTGCATTGCTAATTATCATCGGATCGAAATCGCCGTAGAAGAAGAAGAGGCGGGCGGAAGTGGATTTGTTTACTGGTTGCTGCTTCAGACAGGTATGCTATCAAATATATCACTTCGTTTGAGCTTTTGAATTATTTGCTTAAACATTAACTTCTACTCTATTTGTACTCGTGTCCGCATATAATGTCTTGCAGCCAAAAGATAATTTACAGTTGGAAACAGAAAAGTAAAAAGGTAAAGACAAGACAATTTGGGAATATGCTGCCTGTTAGCTTCGTTCAGCTAACTTAAAGCACTGGTAGCAAAGGTTGGAGCTAGCTCAAAGTCGCTGCAGTGTGGTTCTTTATTTGAAGAAACATCTGTTTAACTTTGCCTTGCGGATGACAAAAGCACACATGACAAGAGTACAACTTCGGATATTTAAGAAATCTTAAGAATTGGTTATGTAATTCAATAGTAACGTTATTCGTTTTAAAAATGGCGCTCGCTTCACAATAAATCCGCGTTAATAATGTAACGTTGTCGCGCAGCCTTCTTATTATTACACCTAAGTTACATTGAAAGGTATTTCTAATAATTTATCGAACTCATTCATATGAACGACTAAATGACACAGTAGCACTAACAATTAAGCACGTTATAGGTGAGTAGTTACCGCAGGGGTGGAACATTTGATTGTATTAAATTGACGGGTATATATTTTTCTGGTCACTCTTTTTAGTTTTATGTCAGTAGTCAACGAATTGGTGGCAGTGAAGAGGATTCAACCCAGTAATTCTTTCTGTCTGGTGTAACTGTGGCATCTGTCGGCCTGCAGGTCCTACCGGGAAATGGACAAGGACGAGGACCCGGTCCAAACAAATGGCAGTAAAACTCTGCTTATCCGCCACTTACCAGCTGAGCTCAGCCAGGATGAGAAGAAAGACCTCTTAAATTATTTTGGAGCAGAGTCAGTCAGGGTCTTCTCGACCACAGGCCGTTTGGTAGGTTGTGCCTCACTGACAGCTAGTGAGCCTGTACCTCTTGAAATGTATTTTGTGTTTAGTTGCTGTCCATACTGAACAGGCTTTTCTGTCTCCACAGAAACATGCAGCCTTTGCAACCTTTAGAAGTGAGAAGTCAGCAGCAAAAGTGAGTTATTATTTAATTTGTGTACTTATATGACATTTTAGAAGGCTGTGCTTATACACATTTAGAGCTGAAAGTAATATCGACATAATCTAATTTGATCTTAATCTGTCTTGTATGGCTTTCAATCCCCTTTGCATCTATTTTAGGCTCTTAGCAGGCTCCATCAGTTAGAGATTCTTGACCATACGCTTGTTGCAGAGTTTGCAAAAGGCCAAGATCATGTGACAGTATTAAAGGACCCACCAGTGTCAGACAGGTAAGTTGCTTGAAACATATGAATTAAGAAACACTGATCTACACAGACTAGGCGTTGGTGTCTGTCGTGTGTGGTCTCAAAGATCAAAGATCATGGTCACATCACGCCCCACAGCCCAGAAATAATTTTCCAAAGACAGGCATCGCACTTATTTATGAAGTTATTCACAAATGAACACGAATCAGATTGACCAGACTCACAATTCGAGAAACAGAAATGTAAAAATGCTTTGAACTGAAATCTACGCATAGTGGTGGAGTGAAACTGACACAGTTTCAGTTTGAACATGTTCTCATCACCCTGTTAATCTCAATTTCTAGCCAAACACCAGTTATCCAATACATGAGCATGGTTGAAAAGTGGAATAATTTTTAACATGATAACTTTTGTTTTACAGTGGCAAACACGTGAGGGTAGAGCAGAAGAAGCAGGAGACCAAACAGCCAGACATTCCGCTCATAGAGACGGGCATTGCGCCTAGCCTTGGGTGAGTGTTGGATGTGTGTCCTTAAGCAGTTTTTGATAGCATTGCTGTGATATGAGAAAATCTTGATGCTGTTCTGTATGCTGATTTATGAATTGATGAGTGGGATGAGGCTATCGTGAGGTCACTTGCCAAAGTGACTGGAGACTTTCTGAAATGATCACAATTAAATGCCTCAGTTATACACAACAGGTGGAGTAGTATTAGTAATAGATCGATTAATCGGGCCGATATCTGGCATTTTGAGATACCTGCACTCACAAGGCTGGTATACATGTGCGACGCATTGCCAGGCAACCTCTTCATTGTGGCTGCTGTGGAACGATGTAAGCGCTCACTCTTGTGAGTTTTGGGAAGGTGGTGAAAAAGTTTCTAAATTTTGGCAGCGGCCGTTGGGAAAACCCATAACAGTCGACCACTAGTTAGAACGTCATTCTCAATTGCGTTATACTGAGCTTGTATTTGTTCTCGCTCTTCCTTGTGAGGTAAAAAATTCTGTGATTTGGTAGCAGGTCTGTAGTATCTCCCAGTAGTGTGCAAGTCATTACCCACCCAAATGATGCCTGTAGAGGCGGCCTGGAGGCTAGCTGACAGCAAACCTGGATGAGAATCTGAGCATTTGTCAGGAGCTGTCAGCGGCCTTGTGTCCAATTAGATAGTCAGGCCACCATAGAGGCCTTAACTGAATACATTAAAGAGATTTCCTGACTCCACAGAAGTGTGAGCAAATTAAGGTTTTATTCTTATTGATTGTGTATATGTGTAGAGAGTTCGATATTCCAAAGTTGAAGTCCTGCTAAGATACATACTCTGGGCTAAAACTAAAAAAGCATGGCTGATGTTCAAAAGTAACGTTGTTGTTAAAGACCTCCAAAGATTCACGTTTTCTAATGTTTTTAACTCCATCCATCTGCTAAAAGAAGTTGAATCAATCTAAAACCCTCATCTTGTTAAAACTGCAGATTAATTTTGCAAAACTGCATGGAAGTCCTGCAGGAACACTGCTAATGCATCCAACCACAGACAGCACATCCTGCAGTAAGTAGGCATCAATAGAATTAACTGTAACTAGTTCTGCTGATGCTAATATTAGTGTTACTAACTTATTTTAAGGGGTGGGTGATGTGGATAAAACCCTCCCACCATGGTCTAGACTGGCACTACAACTATTCCTACAGTAGGGACTAAAATACACTATTGAAATTAAATTAAAAGGACAATTATGACTATTATTTAATTAATGTTTTTGTTTGATCACCTTCCTTTTTAACATTTCTAACATGTTTGTTATATAATTGTGTTTTTACTTTCCACCACACCGTAAAATGTTTGCATTATTACGCAGTTACCAAACGCATATACAATTTAGGCTGTTGTAGTTTAATTAAGTAACTGACCTCTGAATATTAGTTGTGATTACTCTTCCCACTCCCAACAAGCAGATTTCTACGTCATATAGCCAAGTGTTAGATTAAATGACATCCACTGAACCCCCACCAAAAGTCTTTGTTTATTAGGCCTGTGAAGATTTAGATTTAGATTCGTTCTGATGCCAAGTCTTGGTCTATAAAAATTATTATTACATGAGGACAAGCCTCGGTGCTGACATGGCATGCTGGTCCTAATGTCCCTTAATGGCTGAATTTCACATTTTGTTGGTGGGGCGCTTGTCATCTAAAGAATAAGCTACCCCGCTAAAGCTCACCGGCTTTTGTGTCTCCATTATTTTGACATATTTTGTGAGATGTTAAGTGAAGGGTGTATTGTATTTAAAGCAGCTACAGAGTTCCCTTTAAGTCATTTTGTCATTTCCTCTCTCCACTCTCTCCTGCAGGTTGAAATATCCACTGAATCCCACTTTGAAATATTTATACCCACCACCTTCTAATGGCGTTCTGACAAATATAATGCATGCCCTCATGAGTGTGCCAAAGTTTTATGTTCAAGTGAGTACTTTACTTTCCATCCAAACCTACACGTCTTTGATATGCGGATGGTGGTCATCTGTGTTTATGTATTTGTGTTTTTGTATATTTTTCATACTGTCCCTGTATTCATACTTTCTTGTTTTGAGGGATAAGTGGGAATTTGTACAGAAAATGCAAATGTGACAGCAATTCTATCCTTTAGATTCAAATTGTAAAATGGAAATATGATTCTGGAATAAGTGTCCCAGAGGTTTTTGAACTGCATCCAGCCTCTTAAAGATCAAACAGCATTTGCCTTTTAAATTTCAATTTGGGGAGCAAGTATTAATAATAAACCATAAGTGGGAGGCATGAGTTATGGTTTTAACATTTCCCTGGGAGCCAAGCTGCCTGGATTTCCATCGCTGCTACTTCTAGCGTTGGTGTCTTGGTGGTGCTAGTGTGTCGCAGAGAAGCTGCCTTTATGCTCAGCCTCACCTCGGGTATCTCACCTTGATCCTTGTAATTTAAATGAAAATGCAAAAGCCTCGCAATCTGTTTTACATATGGAGACCAAGTTACAGGCTGCCTGTTTGAGAGCAGCAGTATATTTATATTACCTGCTCCCACCCAGCTTGGTGTGAATCTTTGGATTTGAACTATCACTGTTCTAATACTCATATCTCCTTTTATACAGGTGCTACATCTGATGAACAAAATGAATTTACCATGTCCGTTTGGCCCAGTCACTACCAGACCCCCCATGGTAGGTTTGTATACATTATTGTTGGATGAAGACAAACAGGCTAATGACCCCAAGAGTTTGTATATGGTTTTGATATAAATTCTATGATGTTAAACAAAGAAAAACAAACAGCGTTGCGAGGAGGCCAGTATTCAAATATGTAAAGAATATGTTATGTACAAGAAAGCAACTCAACTACTGAGGTCAGCCAGGACCCTGAACAATCAGCTCTTTGGTTTAGTAACACTCTGGGTTCTTAGTGACTCCAGTAGTAATTTATAACCTCAAAGACCACATCTGTGCCACTAACAAAAACTGTTGCTACTGTCCTTTTCTTTACTGAAATCGTTTATGTAACTGTAATTTTATTTCTATGGAAACCGCTGTTACTGCAACACTGCAGTTTCCCTTCAGGAATGAATAAAGTATCTATCTATCTGTCTGTGCATATTAAATGTAAAAATATTCCTCACTACATGAGCAGAAGCACATGTGTGAAAGTGCATGGACTGCCCTGAGTACCGAAGGCAGACAGTGGACTGATTTGTTTTCTTGCATAATGTATGAATCTGAAATTGGGAGGAGACAGATATTGCTCTGTTTGAAGGGAGGTTAAAGTCGCCAGTTAAAGTAAAACTATCAGTCTCATACAGTACAGTAAGTATTAGAGCTGAAACATCTCTTAGATCTCTTAGTGAAGATTTACTGGTCTGTTTTGTCTTACATGAGAGGAAATGGCTATCTTTAGCTTTTTCACTGCTTTTCTGACAAATGTAACGAGGACACTTTGGGCTCGTGGAAACTGTGATGGGCATGGCAAAGATGGCGCTCACGAAATCTGTCGGTTGAACCCAGAGGCATTTGTGAGCTAAGCCATGTTGTTTTGTTTTCCAGCAGTTTGAGTTCCTGCCTCCTGCTCCACCCATCCCCATGCCCCCACCCTTCCCCCCTAACTACCCCCCTCTACCAGAGGAGGAGATGGAGCTGTCCAGCGAAGAAGAATCAGAGTATGAGAGTGGGGACGACGAGGACAAGGAGAGGTGAGGGGCAGTTAACCACTCACGTTGGAGAGTACTCATTTGCATTTTCTTGAGCCAAAAGAAACTGACTTTCATTAAGTTTTGCATCATATTGCCACAGCCAGTCCAGCCTGTGTGTTCATGTTTCATTCAGAAGTAATAACATTTCTAGGAACACAAGTAGCTTGAAGGGAAATGTCTTTAAATTCCAGTGGGTGGTCAATTTTTTCTTTTGTCTAAGGTAGACACTATTTGTTTTTTTTTACACTTATTCCCTATGCTTGCTTTATTTCAGGATTGTTCGTCTGATGGGCCTGGTCAGCCAAGCATGCAAGAGACCCCTGAGACCAAAAACAGCTTCAAAGAGAAAGAAGCCCAAGATCAAGGATCTACTCTATCCTCCCAAACCAGACTCTCAGAGGTACACCAAAGGCACTCGCGCATGTCACAGTCCTCACGTATAGCTCATCTCGAGACAGTATTCACAGGCAGCTAAAAAAAGGACGAAAATCTCCAGATGATACGTCTTCCTTATAAAGACAGCCTTTTGTCACTCAGAGACTTATTGTTTCAGCACCGCACTCACACTCCCTTAATGATGGACCATCAACTCTGTTTCTGAACTATAAATACACAAACACACAGACATTGTCTCCTGGCTGCATGTTTGCGGACTGGGAAATATCTCTGGTTGACCAGAACAAAATATCCCAACCCTTAAGCCACTCAGGAGCCGGGTTTATTGTGGGGAGTTTTTAGAGGCTGCTGTTGAATGGTGATTTTCTCTGCTGTCCTCAGCGGTCCAGTGCTGCAGCCCTCCGATGTTTTTGAGCAGCCCCACCCTGCCAGGCAGAAGAAAATTGAATTCCACATTTCGGTTCCAGAGGTGGCAGCCATAGTGGAAGGAAGTGTGCCGGACCGGCCTGATGATGAAGGCAGAGGTAAGGGCTCTACATGCCTTATTTAATTATTTAAATAATCTGTTGTTTTTCTTGTTTTGATAATTCATAAATCCTTTTCTGATTGTGTTACAATTCCACAGAGCCCAAGGTTATGTCTTTGTCTGACCAACACTCCCAAAAATATTTTTCTATAATAATATAAAATGGAGAAATGTTTTTCTCCAGGTTATGTGATAACACTTTGCTAGAGCTAAAACACAGGTAATGTCAAATCAGGCCCGCCCTTGCCCTATCAGTGAGATCTGGGATCTCTGTAGTGTTTGTGAAGAGAGATATATTGAAACTAGGACTTTCATTATGGGATTCATTACAAAGTCAGATATGTCCCAGTGTCCAAGGTAGCACCTTCAAATTCCTTAGTTTGTCCAGCCAGCACTGTATAACACGAAATATTTAGTTTACTGTGATATAAAACACAAAAAAGCAACAAATCTGCTCATTTTATTAGCAAAGATCCGCAAAATAGAGAATTACTTACATGTTTATTCGGTTATCAGAATAGCTGCAGATTAATATTCTGTCAGTCGACTAATTAATTAAACCGTTGATAGTTCCAGCTTTAAATTAATATCCACTTTTTAGCAAACATTTAATTCAGTTCAGTTTTATTTATATAGCGCTAATTCATAACAAAAGTTATCTCATTACACTTTTCATATAGAGCAGGTCTAGACCATAATTTATTGATTATATGTATCTTGGAAAGAAACTTAACATCAGTGTAAATTAGGCAAAATTGTATGCGACACAAAAACACTTATTTTACAATTGATTTAGTAAAAATCAAACCAATACTAGAGTCTGCACATACATAAAAAGAATCTGTATTACAAGTACACTGCCTGCTCTCTTTTGAGCAGGAAGGGCACTGTAAGGATTTGATTATTACTATACATCATGTTCATTATCACATTGAAGCAGGAGGTGGTTTGATACTATTATTGACATAAGTTAAAGCCCTTACCATGGGGGAAGTCGGAGCCAAGTGTTACACAGCAGTATATCACAGCAGAAACTCGCACCAAAAAGGTCTTACCATTATCTGTATGAGGAAATGTCATTGGGGGCACAGTCTGTGTTACTTGTCAGCTGTGCTGTTCCCTGTTTGCCTTATCTCCCTTCTCTCTAGCTACAACTTCACTACCTGGCAAAGCTCCTGAGAAGTAAAATAGATCTCAAAGTCAAACACAAAAGATTTCCTAAAGGCAGGGGAAAGATAAACTATGACAGGTGGCTTTTTGGATTAGTCTTGTTTTGAGGAAGGCGGGTGTGGGGGGGGGGGGGTTGGGGTCCGATAAACAAGCTATTTAAATGAAAAGAGGAGTTGGGGGACAGATAAGGAGGAGGATAATTTTTGAATGCAGTGATCTATTTCTCTGCCGAGAGTGTATCAGAAAAGCTCCCCAACACTTCTTGCTCCAGTGCACACACACATACACCTTATGTGGATGACAAGATTTTTTTTTCCCTCCTCCTCGGATTTGTACAGGCTCGCTGCTCTTAGTAATTCCATCTTGTGTGTGTGTGTGTGTGTGTGTGTGTGTGTGTGTCTGCCACTGTTATCCTTGCCCCTTGCCTTTCAAACTCATGCTTGCAAACCAGGAATGGATTTTGATGTGATTGTAGTTGTTTATTTGACACAGACTGAATGTGTGCTCATGTGCCTCACTCCTCCTGAGACGCTCTTCTTTCAATTATCACTGCAACCAATTTTCACTTAAACATGATTTCTGCTCAAGGATAGCATTTATCATATTAAACTCTGACAAAGAAATCATTATTATTAACTCTATCAGCTAATGATGCCACAGTTGGAAATTTTAAACATTACTATGTGCACTGATTGTGACCAAGAGGATTTGCTTCCACTCCTCCCATCCCAAGCTTGTTTGGTTTACTGATGAGGATAAACAGTGTGGAAGTGATTATTTCACCATCTGCTATTGTTAAATACTTTGAAAACTTCCATCTGTATTTGCGCTGGAGGGTGAGAGTCCTCTTCCTGTTTTGTATCGTAAAGCAGTGCAGCAGTTTAGCTGGTGCCGGTGTGCTTACCATAATGAATGTTGTTGCTCACAGCTTGCTAAATTGATTAAACTGCGTTGCATATAGTTTCCTCACCATACACCATGTGTCCCTTCAGAAGTGGATGAGAGGGAGCGCGCAGCCAGCGGCAGCCAGGAGTTGGCAGAGGCTGAGGGTTTTGGGAAGCTTTACCCCAGCGCCCAGGCATCCCAACAGCAAGAGGAGCAGAGCGACGATGAGCAGGATCTCACCTCAGATGTCATCACCAGAAAGGAGCTGGAGAAAGGACGGCTGTCGAGAGATGGTAACGTGACCTTGTGAAGCAGCACAGTGGCACAGGGGTTAGCACCGTCCCCTCACAGCAAGGGAGGTGCAGGGTCCAAACAAGTGGGGTCAACAGTGACCATATCGAGTTCAAATAAGCATTTGCATTTTCTGGTTTAAATACCTATAACATTCTTCGTCCCTCTCACAAATCTTATGTGGAGAACTGATGCAAGAAGAATGGAAACAGTGACACCGGGTTGTTTAAAATGCATATTAGAAAAATTTGGCAGTTAGTGTGACTCAGAGAGAGCCATCACAGCTGAACAAAGAAGAAAAGTGCCAACTGCAGAAAATCAAACTTGACTAAAGAAACTGATACATCCCTTCGAGGGAGAGGAGCTTGTGCTAAAAGGTTTAACATCAGCGTTACCTTTGTAAGATTAAGATGATAAGGACTGAGGAGAGATGTAGAATATAGATATAGATGGATATATTTATTATTATTATAATTATATTTTATTTATTTATTTTTTCCCCCTTTTGCAATGGTAAATTCTGGTGTCTTACAGCACCCAGTGTTCAAAGCAATAACCACTTGTCAGCAGTGGTGTCACCAAACCCCCAAAAGATTGTGGATTATTACTTCAAGCCATATTCAGACAGGATCACAGTGCAAAGTGGGGAGTAGTGCAATCCTAACTGGAGCACTTCTCTTGATATAGTGTCACCTAAATCTTTTATGTCTGTAAGTGTTTCAACCACCTTGATTTCCGGGCCAAATAATATCAACCTCAGGAGAAAGTGGGGTCAAACTAACATTACTTTACATTGTTGGTCCATATTTAATTGAGATCGTCAGTCATTCCTGTCAGTTTTTCTCCTTTGTTTCCTAAAGCAGAGGGTTGCCAGTAGAATACAGTCTCGGCCTGAATTGGATAAAACTGTGCCGTGCTTTCAGTTTAATCAATATGTTTAATTTAACAATGGATCAGATGACTGTGCGCAATATGGAAGGGTTTGCTTGCAGTGACAAACAAAGAGAAATACTGACTCTTCAGCTCCCCTCAGGTATACAGAACATTTTAGCATCTTTCCGCTTGCTGTTTTGGTTTCACTGCCCACACTTTTACTGGATCAGTCTCTCCTCTCATCAGTGCCATTTCAAAATTCAAGCTTGACAACTCACAAACAAATTAGAACTTAATTTTTCTATTAAGATATTTAGTTTGTTGAGGGAAAGGGACTGAAAAAATATATTACTTCATTTTACTCATGCATATTGAAATGTTGAAACAAGATTTTATCACAATGGGCTTTATAATGTTCTACCTCCAATTGTTCTTGGTTAAAACCACAATGAACCATCTGGTTTCTTCAACCTTCAGCTTTTAAACTTGAATGAACAGATAATGATTTGACATTTATTGTGATAATAAACGATATGGAATAAATTTTTTATGTTGGTAACATATATCGCCCTGCCGTACCTCTGCATAAATTTCAGACAAGCAAAATTGTTTTATTTCTCCTCCTTTCTTACCATGTCAGCCTAAATGGTAAAGATGAATCCCTGTACTTTACTTCATTGTTTACATACTGAGAGTACTGTTAAGCATAATTCATCAACTGAGATATGATGAGTCATATCTAAAATGACCTGGCTGGTAGGTGCTCATTGCTTGAATCTCTCTTATCCTAGTTTTTCAGTCCACTCTGTCCTAAAAAAACATTGAGTTGATGGTATTGTTTGAGTTGCAGTGTCTTTGAATTTACCTTTATGCTGGTATAGGCAGCTCTGTGATCCTTTTGTAACTCTTTTTGACCTTGAATCAAAAATTTTTTTCTTCTCTCTTTTTAAAACAGAGATAAAAAGGATGTCTGTGTTTAAAAGTTATGAACCGGGCGAGCCAACCTGCAGACTGTACGTGAAGAATATTGCAAAGCAAGTGGAAGAGAAAGTAGGTGCATTTATAGCACTTGACCCACTTATGTGTGTTTGTTTGGTTCACTGGATGGGATGCTTATTCTGGAGTTTTCATTTATTCAAGACCTTTGCACGTCATCAGAAGTCTGTGTTATTAAACATCAAATTAGATGTAAATCCACATTACTTCTGCATAAACAATATAATCAACAATGCATTCATATTCATATGTTAACCTTTCTTTCTGATATTCATCATTTGTCTTCAAGGACCTGAAGTACATCTATGGGAGATACATCAACCCTTTGTCAGAAGCTGAGAGAAACATGTATGTAAACTGCAGTCCAGATTATCTTGATTTGATTTCTTATTGACATGGCTTGTGTGTTCCTTCACCCCATCCTATCTTGATGTGCTATACTTGACTCCAGTTATTTGTCACTTTCTCTTGAGAGGTTTTAGTAATTCATGCTGACTGTGTGTTATGTTATTAACAAGTATCTAACCTGACGTAGAGATCATGAGGGACATTTTATGTTTGTGCATCAGCAGTACTTCAAATAAATATTCCACCTGAGTCATCAAACGGAGCTTATGTTGAGTAGAGGGCCAGACTCTGAACACAGATGTAGGTGATAAACAGGAAGATGCAGCTTCAAATTGTGGCTTTTTCCCCCTGTTTGATGGTTACTACAGTTTATGTTAGTGAATTTCTTGTGATTAATCAGCCTATGCGAGTAAATGCTAACCTCTGTGCTACCAGATCTTTGGTGTTATACTGTGACCAAAAAGTCTACAGGTTTTCATTTCAAACAAACAAACGGCAGACCTTAGTTATCAGTTGCTTAAGGAGGCAAATGATGTGCAAAATTCATGATTTAATAAGTCTTGCGGTGAAAGAGTTAGCAATTCATGCGTTGACATTATGCTAGTTAGATTAAAAAATGCACCTTTTTCTTTTTGTCCCAGCCCTTCTGACCAAGCTGAAGGTTTTCTTTCCTAAAAAAGGAATTTTTCCAAAAACGCTCTCCAGAGTGTATAGATCTAAAATCGCTGACTTGGTGTTGTAGTCTGAGGGTCAGGGGCTGTGTGGCAGTAAAGTTAACAAATACTTTGCCCCATCTAACTCTTATTGTGATATCTCATTTCATATTTCCATATAGCCACATACACAGCACATCTCGTTAACCTGTATTTTACTTGATTTGGTTAGACAACGTCACAATCATAGAATGTAGTTTTTGTCAGCGCTGCAGCTTGAGAATGACTGCTGGTTAACATGCAGTATTTATTAAACACAAAATAACTATTTCATTGTCTGACTACAGAAAGAGAAACATATGTATGTAAGTAAGAACAACTTGATACTGCATTCGGCTGTATTAAAATCCAGTATTTGTGACCACAGAGAGCCGGAGGCGACTGACTCCATCTGACTGATTTTTGTCAGATGGAGTCACAATTTTCCTATGGTTTTCACTCAAAACAGCATTTTAAAAGTTAGAAGTCTTTGTGTAGTCAAACTGACGGCACTCAACACAATGCCTGAGCCTTTTCGTTGGACCGTATTTATGAATTTGGGTTCTGTGATTTTCACAATGTAATGTTAACTGCTGTTATCTGGTCCATAGATTATACTAATCTGCACGCCGTGTACTGAACGCCCCTAGTTGCTTCTCTTTGACTTTAAGTTGCTAATCAGTAAAATCAGTTAGAATAAACCCCTACACATTCTTTGGTCTCAGTAACACCTGATTGACAACCACTGTTTTTTGTGGTTACAGAAGCAGATAACATTTCCCTCGCTGAATAGCTAACCTTGTAGCTTCAGTATAATGGTGACTTGACTAGGCCACACGCCCCAAGTGATAACCATGTGTCCCTGCTTTGTCTTTTTCCCCCTCAGGTTTGACATTGTATTAATGAAGGAGGGGCGGATGAAAGGGCAGGCCTTCGTAGGACTCCCTAGTGAGCAGAGTGCAGAGAAAGCCCTGCGGGAAACCAACGGCTACGTTCTCTATGACAAACCCCTCGTTGTTGTATCCTTTTAATCCCCTGTAGCAAGATGACACAAGGGCACAAATTTTATAAGGAATGGAAAACAAGGTTCTATGTTAATTTGATAGGGTTGGGTTATGTGGTGTGTAGAATGGGCACAGATATCATATCTAAGGGATAAAGCTCAGTGCCATGTACTGGTTACTATAGTTTTTAATCAACTGGTACTCAGGAAAAGCCAATTAGAGGAATGCAGACTTAAGCTGTTAGTGGAGACAGATTTCATTGAAAAAAGTTGTTGTTTCTAGAAAAAAGTTAGTTGAGTCTGAGATTTAATAGTGTATTAGAAACGATGCCAAGTGACCAATTAAGAAAAGAAACATTTTATATAACGATGAACAGGATCAAATGTTACCTAACATACAAAAAGGGTTAAGGGCTAGAGTGTGATGATTATTAAGGGTACACCTCCCATCACAGATGTTTTGTTGGCGCTGGTCCTCTGTGCTTTCAGAAGGACGAGGACTAATTTCTGGCAGCCCTGAACCACCACCTGCTCTTCCCCAGCTCAACACTGATAATTGCACATCAACTTTTGAACTTGTCTAATAGAACAAGGCTATTGATTTTGATGGTGTTTTAATGTGCATCCCATAACCAATTAGCTTGGAGACAGCGTTTTGTTTTTTGACATCCAAGAGGGAACCGTGAAGTCTGCAATGCAATTTACTTGAAGATGTATTCCACGTAAGGAGACCGTTAGCTTAGAGCTTAGACTGAAGTTCCACCACCAACAGCTCCTGTGTTGAATCACAAATTAAAAAATAGTTGTCATTTCGTCACCATTCAGCCATTTAAGATTAGACATTTAATTAGTTTTAATAACTGGAGGTTCATAAATTGGTTTATAGATTTTTAGACTCACAAACGGCTCTGTCTTTATGTAGGTCTTGTAAGATGATGTATCAGTTAGAAAAAAATTGCACTGAATCACATGCACACATTGTTTCCTGTGAATCCCTCACTTAGGTAGGCAATCTGAATGTAGCGGACTTATCCACTATCAATATAAGCTACTATAGAGAGATAATTACTGAATGCAAATACATAACATGGCTATTAAAGCCAAACATAAATAGATTCAAAACAGTGTGGATTTCATGTAAGTCTGAAGGATATTTTCTTTAAGTGCATGGTAATGATGTGCAGCAGCTAGCTTGATGATGTGTGTTTCTATTTATATATATTTGCTGGTATAAAGGGGGGGGGAGCAGTTTTAGTGTGAAACTAGTACTGGTACCAGCATAAAGGGTTTTCTTTGTTGTGACAGTCCTAAATACAAAAGGACAATTTGTTAACCATGGTTACTTTTAATTTTTTTAAGACTTACTGAATTAATAGACTAGATTAAATATATTAGATTAATAACTTGGATAACTAAGCCAGGAGAACATACACATTGCAAGTGTGCTTAAACTCAACATGTATTATAGGGTAGACTTGGATTGTTTTTGGGGTTTTATTTGGAGCATCAAAAAGCCTTGTATGGTTCACTCTGGTACAGATAGCTTTTTAAGCAGTCACAGGCAGAGGACTGGCAGTCCCAGTTTAGATTCCCTATAATGATTTTTTCAGTGCTAGCCTGAGACTGCAGTATGGCACTTGCCAGAGAATTCTCAAACAGCCTGCTACTAAAATTAGCGAGCTGGAAGAAAAACCTGCACGAAGTGCTAGTTTATTAATGGACAGGACTACAGTGACAGCCTTTCACACATCTGGCTCCTCCCTGTTTATTTAACCTGTCACGTCGGCGAACAATTTATCAATCTGTGTGAATGACAGGAGCAGTCACTAAGTGAGCCAGCCTCAGGAAAGCAAGAGCCCTGAGCCCTTATAAGGTCCATTTTTGGCCAGTAGTCTTCTGGCATTTATGAGCAAACAGCTGTGACCTTTTCTCAAATTAAATTCATATGAGGTGGCAAGTGTCACGAGCGGGAGGGCCCCTGTGGTCTAAAGCTGCTGCATACAACATAACAATATACTGTATAAGTATGATAAAAATGCTCAGCGTGTGATTATCTGTCTGTGAACCTGTGCCTAAAGCTGAAATTGGCATTTTATTTGGTGTATATTTTCCACAGTACTATTGGTATATTACATTTATAGAAAGATAGGTATACAATTGTATAAATTTGGTAAGGGGACGAGATAAAGGAAAGGATTTGATAATTGTGTAGGGTTAGGTTTCCCGCGCTTGAAAAAGAAAATGAGTTATCAAGTGAGACTTTACTTTTAATGAAAATGTTTGCTGTCTGCGGACCTTAACTATAAATTCACAGCAATTTGCCAGATCTGCAAGACCAAAACAAGATACCAATACGGACACCAAGAGAGGACCACGACAACGATGAACTCAACTGGTGAGTGAGACACTAAAGCATTTGGTGATCTGCAGAAGGAGACAATTGATGCTGGTTTTTCATTATGTCATAGTATGTCTGTGCTGTATAGAACAAGCCTTATTATCATTGTAATGGTGTTTCCTTTTTACATTTGTGTTTACACTTTATTTATTCAAGATGCCAAGGCTTGATACTGTGGCCCAGCAGAACCATTTGTATCCTTATTCTGGCATATCCTTTGGGAAAAAAACAAAAGAAAATGGGGGCAGTTTAACTGTAGTTTTTGTGGCGCAATTGGAACTTTAAACAACGCGACCTGTATTATAATCTAAAAAGGTGTACAATGCTTTGTTTCTATAATTTATTACATCTTATGTTCTCTGAAATGTTTTGTTTGGTATAGACATGTGCTATTTTGGAGTCTCTTAAACTTCTCTTTACAATGTTCTCTACCTTGTTTGACTGAATTTCAGGTGATGGTCGTCAGATGGCATCTTCTTCTTTTATTACTAAATAAAAAATATTTTATTAAAATACTTTTTTTGTCATGTTGTCTTCCAATCACAGCCTCAAACATATGTCACCATTTGTGGCTACACTTCAGTCAAACTATCACAACTGATTATCTTTAGTCTCAAACTTAAAGTCCTGACAGCCGAGTAAATACAGACTGTGGAAGGTATATGAGATCTAGATTGGCTCTGCAGCAGATGGTAGGCTGTCAACAAAAAACCACAGTCCTGAAGAGACAGCAAACAAACCAAACAGACTGCAGTCTGTGGGAAATTGCTGGGGCTTGGTTAGCTTACCTTTACAATCCCTGGCTGGCCCCATCTGTGTGATTAGAGAGAGTAAAGCTTGGGAGGGTGAACTTCTCCCCTCAACAGCCATCATAACTAAAGATTTGGAAATCAAATTGTTTTTTTGTCCTTTTTTTGGTATAAGCAATACTGGGAGTCAACTTGGGTGCATGTTTATGTCTGATCTTTAAGACATCTATAGAGGGAAAGACATGAAGTTTCTGTGGTGAACGGTTTGCTAGATGTGGTGTAGTTTGATTCAGCTTGACATCGCTCTGCTGGTTTGACAACATGTAAAAGCAGCGACACATTTTTATAATGCATCAGGTCTGTACAATGGCAAAATAGTATCTTGCCACATTTGAGCTGGAACTTAAAAGGTCCTGTTCTTCTCAGTTGTCAGTTTGCCCACACAAAGTAACAGAAATGTGAGCCTCAGAAAAACTGGTATGTGTTTTTTTTTTTTTTTTTTTTAAATAATAGTGATGTGGCTTCCTATTACACCTACAGCGGTAATTTCTAGAGAGGTTTACTTTTTTAAAAACTGGAATGCAAACGTGACAAGTGCAAACACTGCAGCCTGTGCAAGGACTGTTGTGATGAATGGGGTGGTTCTCTATCACAAGAACAATTATCTAGTGATATAAATGTTAAATAAACGTTCAGCGCTGACCAGTTCTTACTAAATTGTTCTCTAAATACTCAAGTGGTATGTCACATTGGCCTTAGTGTCTCAAATTGTTCAAGTTTCTGGGTTAACATTATTGTTTGCTAATCCAGTCATGTATTGTTAGCTGTTCTATATTTAAAAAAAACAAAAACAAACATCAAACAACAAATACAATTTGAACTATTACAGTGGATCATTGTTGCATTTAAAGCATTGTAAGTAATAAGGCATAGTGTGTTTGTGGTACTGTTGATTTGGAGACGACAAAACTCACATCCATATTTCACAAATGTGTGATGTCGTTTTGTTTATTTTAACTACCATCTCATTATGCATCAAACATTTTTAGCTTCTCTGAACTGCATATCGTTTTTGTAAGTCCGACCAGCTTCCATTCAAATTTTAGCTATATTTCAGCTCAGGGATCCCATAGCTCCTGAACCAAACTAACTTCTGGGTTTAAAGGTTCAAAGTGGAACTGCTCCATTTCACATCCCTGTCAGAAAATGAGCCCTGAAATAATTCACAAGCTATTTTAATGACACTGACAAGCCAGAAGGCGCAGAGTGCACTGCGGCAAACCAGAACATCTTGTCATGTAGTCCTGGTTTTTACACATGTTCCTGGTCAGATTTCAAAATAGGGGAAAGATGTTTAAACAATGTTGGTTTCATTTTGCTGAAGGCATATTGCCTCGTAAAAAGCTTCCTTGTTATTTATTTAATTTAACTACCAATTGTTTACTTACTTAAATTGATATTTCAATTCAAAGCCCGTTTGCACACACTGCTATCACCTACCTATCATGAATCAAGAATGTTCATGTGATTGATGATCGCCTCAGTATTATATTTACCCTCCGTGTTACAATATAGCTATGTAACTACTAGCTGAATTAACAGGACATAATCTGCAGATGCAACAATGGCGGGCTAATGGGGTGTGATTGTGATATCCTCCAGAGGAGAAATCACCATGAACAATTATCTGTCTCCTTAAATTTCAATGTGAATGCAAAAAGCATATAATGTGTATCTTAAAATGTTAGCTTTTTTAGAAGCAACATTAATCGATGGATTTACTCTAATGGTTTCCAGATTTAGATTTAGGTTGGGGGAAAAATCTCAGATCGTGGTTTATGCGAAATGGCAACTCCATTGCATTCCTCCTGACTTTACTTTTATGTTACTTTTCTGTCAAATCTGTTGTAGTCCATTAAGTCCCAGCTCATGAGTTCAGCCTCCCCCTGGTTAAGATCCAGGCACACGGGGTTATCAATCACCTGTGCTCATCTGGTTCGACCTGCAGCTCGTACGTCAACGCCAGTGTGAGGGAGGAGTTCCCATCTGTGCCCTACTCTGCCCGCCATCCCAACGATGACAAATGTTCCACCCGCAGTGGAAATATTGAGAGTTACCAGGACATTTATCAGGTAACATTTGAGCAATATGAAAGATAACCTTTTATAAGTGGACACAGATAAAGATGTATGTTCTGTCGTTGCTTTGCACAGGCTCCGTCTTTGTTTAATACTGCAGTTACCCAGAGGTAATATCATGATGATATGTTTCTTATTTTGGGTTGAACCAGGCGTGCAGTCTGTTTGCTGGAAGGAGCCCGTGGATTGCTGGCTACATGTACACAGTTTTGAACATTTAAGTGTTATAGGCTGTAGGCTGGATGCCCGTAAGCACGTGTGGCCTGTTTTTTTCTGGACACTCTGTACACTGAATTTTACTTGTACAAAGTGAGTGTTTACTCATAATCTGTTCAAGAAAATACCAGGAGCATTCAAGGCAACATCAACATGCCTCAGGCCAATAAGGTATCTTAAGACACCTCCAATGATGACACCGATTTTACTTGTGGGCTTCTGTGTGGTACTGTCAAGGTTTTGTTGGGCCTGGTGCAATGCAAGCTCCTGTTTTTACGGAAACTGAATTTTAATGCACAAAAGCTAGGATAAATCTCTCAGTCAGTCAGTTTATTCCCCATGCCACTGCAGACACACTTACTATAAGGCTGTTTGCTCTATTGCTTTGGGTTTAACCGTATTGGCAAAGCATTGGCTTTATGTCATCAGGTTCAATCAGAGACCACTCACATCAGGACCATTTAAAGCAATTGGTCATACCATTAGATTTGGTGATAACAGTTAAGCTTATGGAGGGAGCTTTCAAATAATCTGAACAGCAACGAGGATCCTACTGGTAGAACTAGTCCCTCCTTAACAGACACATACAGGAATCATCAGTACAAAAGATGCATAGTTTAAAGGTACAAACATAAAAAGATTGGCGTAGGAGTAAACTTCAGCTGCAAGAAACATTCAACCACTGAGCTTGAAATTCTCTTAGGTGCGCCACTAACGACAGGCAGAAGCTAAAGATTAAGATGTTGAGAAAACTGGCAATATAATCTGCAGTTTATAGATTTTTGGATTCCGGGTCAATTTTGGATTAATTCAGCAATCAATATGGCGTGTTTTGTTCAGCAGTGTTTTATATTACCACTTGGATTTGCCCCTCTGCAGGGATTCTTCTCCATATCAACAGCGGTCAAGGCTCCCAGGTATTGTAGTTATAATAAATAAATAAAATAATTTAAAATGGTCATAACACAAACCTGTAGTTGAATTATTTTATATTAAGTAACCACAGGTTCCTCCCACTGCGCAACGCAATAGTGAGAAGTGTCAGGTTTTAATGGCTGAGCAGCACACCTGCCCGATTATGGCTGGAGGTTACGAGTCAGCTGTGAATGAGCCAATGATTGTGAAGCATGAATGAAACATCTAGTGCCAATCACTGCTTCATTTCAATGCCCAGAGAGTGTCAAATGAGTTACAGTTGAAACAAAAATAAAGGGCCTTTCTCAGGATGGTGGGGGAACTATAGTGGCTGAACACTGTTTATGAATGGTCAGCCACAAAAATGGCCTGCTCATAATCAGTATTTTGAATCAATGGTGCTTTTCAGCAGAAGCATTTACAAATTGTAGACTTAATAATTTTGTTTCCCACAAAAGGAATGAATTAGTTGCTTGCCAAGATGGTAGAATTATGTTAGCTAGCGAAATTAGTGTGACATTGATTTTTCTACTCCGTTTATGAGGATTTATGAAGATAAAAAATCAATTTCATCAACATATCTGCTTGTGTTTGTTTTTAATAGATGCTACCGAGTGAGCCCGTTTTATTTAAATACTTAGTGAGGTGTAATTCACCTCAGAAATATTTATATTGTTTATGAAATACGCTTAATGTATAAATTTGTTACTTATGTGGCTCATACGTTTGGCACAGCCAGAGGATTTTAAGCAAAAGAGTGATTTCTGTTACTTGATGTTTGTGCCAACAACACAAGCAACTAATGGATGTGATATTTTTTAATCCCTGTTTTAGCACGCAGCTTAATGGGCTTCATTTGTCAGATATAAATCAATTTGAATTTGAAAAACATGCATCACAGGTTTTATATTGTAGAAAGCTTGCATACTTTCATCCTTGATGATTTTATCACTCCTCCTCAAGCGCCAACACTAATCTACAGTATTACAAAGCAGGTGATTATTTCTAAGTGAGGTATACTCATATACTGCACTGCATGACTGTTTATATTGCCATTTTGCCACAGATTTCAACCCCAAAATTTCATTATAAATTATGAGCAAAACCTGCAAGGTTTAGCCACGAGTGGGATGGAAACTTTGTGAATTCTTACCCAGCACACTGTGTACAGTCGATAGTTAAAGGAGGCATCCCTTAAAATAGTAAGAAAA